AGGGAAAAAAAAAAAAAACCTCAAAATATTTCAGCAAAGTAGAAGTTTTTTTAAAAAAAGGAAATGAAATTACAAAATTGAAAATATACTGCTTGAAGTAATAATAATAATGACAAATAATAATTAGCTTGAATCAACTCAGGAATGGAGTGGATTGATATAGAACAGACCTGGAGAAAGATCAGTAGACTTTACTAATCCGCAAAACAGAAAGAAAATAGACTAATACACAAATCTCCAGCAAAGTAAACCCTAAGATTTCTATGAGACAATAGTAAAAGAGCTAAGTACCATTCAACCGGCCATGCACGGTGTTCCCCACCTGTAATCCCAGCACTTGAGAAATAGAGGTTGGAGAATCAGAAAGTCAAGGTCAATCTGGGCTAAATGAGACCCTGTCTCAAAACAAAACAAAATGTATATATAAAAAGATCTGTTTGGGTTGCAGAGATGGCTCAGCGGTTAAGAACACTAGTTGCTCTTGCAGAAGACCTGGGTTCGAATCCCAGCACCCACATGGCAGCTAACAACTGTCCATAACTACAGACCCAGGGCATCTGACAGCCTCTTCTGACCTCTGAGGGCATTGCACACATGGGTGCACTTACCTATATGCAGGCAATACATGTATACACATAAAATAAAAAAAAAAAGATTGTTGGTCTTTAATTCTTGAGTTATTCTAAACTCACCCCTATTAATTGCTTTTTTTTTTTTTTTTGGTTTTTTTTAAAAAGGGTTCCTGTATGAACCTGTAGCTTCAGGTAGCCTGGAACTTGCTATGTAGACTAGGCTGAACTTGTCTAAGTCTTTTTTGGTTGATCAACAAATCCATAATTAAGTTTGTCTATGACATATAACTTAGATAGAAAATTAAAAAGGAAGATAATCAAATTAGAACAGCTCAAGTCATTCCTAGGAACCAGTCCCAAGAGTGACAGAGTCTATGGTCTGTCAGGGCAGGGCAGGTATACCAGAGGGACGGTACATGATGACTCTCCCACACTCCAAACTCAGGGCTGCATTTTAAAATAGAGAAGCTGGGGAATGTGGACACTGGGCACAGAGCAGCGAGGAGAGGAAGGGATAAAGTAAGTGTGGAAAATAGAGGAGGCCAGGCAGCATGGCAGGTATTCCTGCCTCCATACCTGAATGAAGGCTCCCAGGATCTTCCGGGCTTCCTGGTAGAGCTTCTCTCCATCCCACTGGGGGTTGAGTCTGTTCAGCTCTCTAACTAACCGGTTGTGTTCCCGGATAAAGAGGGTGTGGGATGTGGCCAGCAATATCTGCTCTGAGGCTCGAGAGTCTCCTGAAAGTACAGAAGACAGGAGGGTGAGTTCTCCCTGAACAGGACCTGCACAGAGAAAAATGGTACCCCCAGGGAACCTCGCCTAAGCTCCTTTTTCAAGGCAACCCAAGAAGTCCTGTAAGGAGGAACATGGAGAGGCAGGGAATGATAGGGCATGAAGAGGGCTGAGGGGCAAGGGGGTTTAGGAGTGGGAATCATAGAGTTGCAGCTTAGTTCTATGCACATACATTTTTTAAGCTCTGTGACCTCAGACAGGTCACTTAACATTTCTAAGCCTCAGCGAACTTATCTAGGAAAATAAGAACAGGGTTGTGGTAAAGGCTATAGGTGACATGCTAAAAGCTAGGCTTTTATTATTTATAACCCAACTATTTCCAAGAAGTACAGCTCTTTACATTGCAGAGCAACTTTGAGGGTTTTAGGAATGCAGGTTTGAGGGTGGAGCCTGGAGTAGGGCTGAGTGCTGGGTAGCAAAGGAGTTAGTTCCTACTGAGGTAAAGACAGGAGAACAGGATGTGGGAATAAGTAAATGGTGAAGACCATATGTCTCACAGGGCACTTCAGGAAAGCCTATTAAGTTTGCAGACGCTTGATGTTGGCAGCTAATTGTATGAAAAATAGGATAGGGTTTGGCTTTGTGTCCATATTGGTGAGGAGTACGTAAAGATGGAAATCCAGATCTGCTAAGAGAGTATGGCCTACAGGCTGGCTTTCTGCCTTGTCAGGGTTTATCCTGTGAGTTTTGGAGGACAGAAGACTCCCCAAAAGTAGAGACGGGGAACCAGGATGGCAGGAGTCCCAAGGTGAACAGAATTGGGGGGCTTTGGTCTTGCACAGTTTTCAGGCAATGGGGGCTTTGGGCCCAAGTTAAGTAAGTAACTAAAGTGTGTATGTATGTGTTTGGGCATGGATGTGCCACGGCACAGGTGTAGCGGTCGGAAGACAACTTGCAGGTGTTGGTTCTTTTCTTGTAGGTCCTGGGGACTGAACTCAGGTCATCAGGCTTGGTTGCAAGTGCCTTTACCCAACTGAGCCCTCTGACTAATCCTTGGTCCAGTTCTTAAAAATACTTATATATACCTCTTAATCTAGAACTTCCTCTTCTAGATAATTATCTTAATAAATATATTAAAAATGAGAACAGCTCACAAAAAGACATGAAAAAAAATTGAGAATAAACATTTGTCAGCAACCATGTTCATACCTAAACAAAATCAAGAAAATCCAGAAAAACTGGAAATACTGAATGCCTCCAAAGAGAGCTGAAAAAATAAATTATGATAATACATGTTAGAGAGCGCCAGAGAGCCGTGTAGAGCAGCTGATGGCATGAGGCATGTTAGGTAAGGACACCAGGCTTTACAGTACTATTTCTAGTATGATCCTAAGTATGAAAACAGTTTAGAACTATGCTATGTTTTCTTTCTTTCTTTACCTTTGAGATGAGATCTCAGGTAGTCCAAGCTGGCCTTGAACTCCCTAGATAGTCAAAGATGACCTTGAACTTCTGATCCTCCTTCCTCTACTTCCCGAGTGCTGGAATTACAGATGTATACCACCACACCCGGTCTATGCATTGCTGAATGTCAACCTAGGGCTTCATTCAGTTCTAAGCAAGGACTCTACCAACTGAGCTACATTACTAACCCCTATACCTTTGTTTTCTGGCTTATTTTTGTAAGGCAAATGATCCACCATTGAGCTACATCCCCAGCCAGCCATCTTTTTTGCTTTTTTATGTTGGGTCAGCCTCACTAAGTTGTCCAAGCTGGCCTTGAACTCACTCTGCAGCCAAGGCAGACCTTAAATTTGTGATACATCTGCTTCAACCTTGCTAGCTGGGATTACAGGCCTGTGTCACTGAGTCTGCTAGAACTACTCCTGTGATAGAAAATACCATAAAAGTTGCCATTAAAATGTTAATAATGACTATTGATGGATGATGGGGTTATGTGAGTTTCTTCATGCTTTTCTGAATTTTTAAATTTTGTTTCACAGTGAACACATGTTCTTAGATTCTTTTTTCATTTAAGTCTTTCTATAACTCCTAGTCCAGTGCTACTGACAGCGGAAAGATGCTTGTCCCCAGGCTCCTTTTTTTCCCTCCTAGGTTAGACTCACCTGCTAGGAAGCAGGGCACACCGGCTGTTTTGTTGATGACCTCACAGGAGCTGGGCTTTGTTTCAACAAAAGGAAGGTAGGGCAGTCCATGGTCTGAGACCTCTTCATTGACAGCCATGAGGCCCAGGGGACTGCTGAGGTTTCGTAATCTATTTGCCAGGTTTGGCTCAGGGCCGTACACCAAGCTGGCATCCAGGAAAGAGGTTAGAGCATTGATTTGCTCTCGGGCCAGGGATTGGTAGGGTGATGTGGGGCAGACGAACCCAGCTCTGAAGAAAGGCATGCACTTCCCTTGAGTCTTCAACTTAGGGTCACCGGTTGGAAACTGCAGAGAGATCGGGGTGTGTGGCAGAGTGACTGCTCAGGGACAACACATCTGGTCCTGGACAAGCTTTCCCATGGTCAGTCTAGATGTGGTGCCCTCCTGGGAGTCTTGCCAGACACTGAACCCAGATGCCTCCTGCAAACATTACACTTCCTGTGCCTATAACATTCCAAATTCATTATATCCTACGGAGCAAAAAGAGCTGAAAGTAATGATTTATTCTTTCACAGTGAGGGCTCTGAATAGCCAAGAGCCTCCTTGAGTTCCTTAGACAGAAAAGCAACACATGAGACTGGAAAGGGCTTTTAGCAATTACTACTGAAATATCGACCCTTTGTTTATTCTGGAACGCTCATGTGCCAGGCAGTATGCCTACTCTGTATCACTTTGGTTCTCAGAGGACATGTGCAGTAGACTATTGAGAACCATTTTACACCTGAGAAAGCAGGCTCAGATAGGTTAAATAACCTGCTAAACACTTACAAACTAGAAGAGAAAGATACAAGACTCAGGTCCAGATCAGTCTCATCCCACAGCTCATGTTTTTTTACACCACACCATGTATGTAGTCTGAACGTGCTGTTTGAGTGAATAAATGACTCTAATTGCAAAATCTAAGATTAAGAAGAAAAGATGTTGGGGCTGGAGAGATGGTTCAGCGGTTAAGAGCATCAGCTATTCTGCAGAAGACCTGGGGGTTCAAATCCCAACACCCACATGGAGGCTAATAACTCCAGTTCCAGGAGATCTGATGCCCTCTTCTGTCCTCCATGGGCATTGCACAACAAGGGTGTATTTAGATACATGCATACACTCATAAAATAAAAATAATAAATAAAACTAATTATTTTTTAAAAAGAAGAAAAGATGTGCTACTGCAAGCACCTCTCCCCTCCTGCTCCATTCCCACAAATCCTTGCTGCTTGCTGAGTCATTCATCAATCCTCAGCTCCTTCTAGGAGATGAAATCATCCTTCAGGTTACTTACAGCAGAGTTCCACAAGCTAAGTATAGGCTGAAGCTCTTTCATGTGTCGGGGAGGGTCTTGGTAAAATGTAGAATGTATTTCCCAACATCTAGGGAGAGACTTGACATTCATTTTTCTAATAAGCCCTCAAGTGATACAGGTGCTGCTGGGGGGGGTACGGACATTCCAGTTCTGCTAGCAGTTTGCTTGTCTATTTCCACACTGGCCCTTTGTCCTTGAGAGCAAGAACAGAGCCTTACCTTTGAATCCCCAGTGCTTGGTGCACTGCCTGGCACGGAGTAAATGGTTAATGCCTAATTACTGAACGGATGGATGAGTGCATGAATGGATGTGTGAGGCTTAGGAAGCTATGAGATCAGCATTCAAAGCTATCAAGAGATCCTGGAGTTTGGGCTAGGGATGTGCACTACATCAAAGTAAGCAAAGGTTGTGTGACTACAGAGGCCTACCATGATGGGGAAGCAGCTGTCTCCCTGGATACAGTGCTCATCACACTGGACTTTGGAGTCACTCCCCATCTCAGCTTCAGGGGCAAAGTCCAGGTCATGGTCCACTATTTGGCCCCACTGCATAAAGAGCAGGGACCTGTTTTGGTCCAGAACATCCTCCTCGTTCAGATAGCCGGCGATCTGGTTGGAGACTTCACGGGCCTGTACGTGGAGGAGAGGGGAGGACAGATTGGAAGAAAGCATGTTTTGAGGATTCAGAGTCAACCATAGTTTACCGAAGATCTTTAAGATAATGAGTATATATAATCCACAAGGAGCTTGTGAGATAGGTAGCATGATACCACTTTGTGGATAAGGACACAGAACCCTGGACAGGTAAAGTCAGGGCTCCTAGGTCCTGCAGCTACAAAGGGGCAGGGATAGGATTGGATCTAGGACTGTATGAGTTGATGATAGTTAAGGTCAGTATCTTTACCACTACTGAGAGGGAACACAAAGACAGACTGCTTCTGACAAGCTCGTAATGGAAGTGCCAAGTTTCTGGGCATAGGAAGAGGGACCCTGGGGCCCGGATGCCAACTCAGATGAGGCCAACAGATCAGACCTCCAGGAAAAGGACAGCTGGTGCACTCCAGGGGTTGGGGCAAGGTAGGCACAAGTAGGATAGAGCAGGGAAGCCATCTGCCTGGGAGACCCCAGGGTATCAGGCTTGTGACAGCTGGGACATGACCACTGCCACCTGACTGGACCCTGGGTTCTGCTGCCCTCTAGTGGCACTGTGTGGAACATATCGCTAGGGAGCAAGACCTAATCAGTCAAGTCTTCGTTCTTCCTTTTGGTGTGCATGTATGTGTGTGCATCCTCTTCCCCACCGACTCCCATCCTGCGTCCACCCGCCCTCACCGGAGGGAGAGAGAAGCCGTTCCGCGTCTTCCCCGGCGTCCACCCGAAGGGAAGGGAGAGCCCGTCCTCATACTCGGCTGGCAGCCATCGAGCCAGCGCCCTGTTGGCTGCGCCCAGAGCAGGCTTCTTCCTGAAACCCAGCAAGATTGCTCTCAGCCTCGGCAAGTGGCCTCAGGGCTCCCTGTGGCAGGGTGTGGCCTCTGAACTGAGCTTTGCAGGAGGGACAGGGGACACGCAGGAGGGGCCTCACTGTGGGGTTCTGAATTCTCCCAACCAACCCCAAGGCACGGGACTACTCTCAGTAAGCCACAGTGGCCTCTGGAAATGTGTACTCTAGGTCCAGGAGTTGTGCCCAGAATGCCCAGGGGGCCAAAGCCCCAGGCTGGAGTGGTGGCAGGGAGGGTCACCTGTTGTTACAGTCTCCAGTGATGGTTCGGTAAGGGCTGCTTATGTTGCAGTTCACCGGGAGAGCAGGGGCATCACAGCCCACCTCCCAGGAGAGCGAAGTCAAGTCCAGGCCTTGACCTGAAACAGAAGGGGACCCCAAACAGGCTGAGCTCTGAGAGTTGGCAACTGGCAGGAAGTCAAACTAGAGTTGACAGCTCAGTGCCATCCAGAGCAAGGTAGAAATCTCATCTCTCTGACATACTACAGGCAAATCCATGTTACACACAGGAAGCTTAAATCTCCCTTTTACCTACAGAAGTGAGGACACTGGTTTGGGATAGGAAGGCCATGTTTATTGATTTTGACACTTCTTCCAGGTAGGGAGGCCTTACAGACTGTATTATACAAGGAACACCAATGTCCCTCTTCTAGGAGTTGGCACTATGACTTTTCCACAGGAATGTTCTTTCATCCCTGAGAAGGACATTGGCCTAGCTATCCCCTAAGGCCTTCCGGGTTCTGCCAGTCTGGCCTATGGATCTAAGAAGGGATAGCTTCTACTGGAGAGGGCAGCGTTTGGTGGCCTCTGTTCTGTTCTGATGGATCTTTCCTGTTATCAGAGGGCTAGTGTTGTCTGTACCTGTGACATTTGTCAAGGACACCTGTTTCCTCAGCTTCTTCAAGGACTCCTCCCACACCTGCCCGCTGCGGATGGCTGTGCGTGTCCGGCCTTTGGCATGTTTGAGAAACTCTGAGAGTTGGCGGGTGGTGGGAGTCAGGGAGCTCATGGCCATCTTCAGCCTATAGTAGGGACCAACAGGGATCAGGAGCTGGTTCTGTAGAAGGGAGTTGGTGGCCCACTGGAGGGGTATGCGGTGGTGTGTGAACAGGGATAAGCTACAGGGGCACTAGAAGCACATAGCTCCCAGGATCTCTTCATGTCTCTTCTGGAGCTGCTGGAAAACCTCTTATAGGAGGAGGAAACCATAGTGGCTGTGATGCTTTGTTCAGTCTGGTCTTAAAAAAAAGGCAGGTGGATGAAACAAAAGCTCCTGAATTCCAGCTAGTGAGCTGCACCTGGGCTGACTGTGTCATAACCAACTGGGCATCTTAAAACCATCCAGATCTTATAGCAGACTAATCTAGGCTTGAGAAACCCTTGGCATTTATCTGGTGTATCACTGAGCTATCACTGAGCCTTATTGACTAAGAATTTCAGGAATACAATACAAATGGTCTTCCAGTTCTGCCCACGCACCTGGCCCTAAAGATAGTGTGGAGTGTGTGGCCAGGTACATTTAGCCTACTGTTGAATCTTGGGCAAGTTGCTTGGTCTTTTTAGGCCTTAACTTGTACAAAACAAGAACTCCAAAGCCCTTCTACTCTGAAGTCTGTGACAACTCAGAGAGGGCTTGAGGACAAAGTAGTATATGACATGAAAGCCCTCTACTGCCTCACTATGCTTCATTTTCCTTGTGTATGAGGATCTACAAGGTGGCCTCTGTCTCTGACCCTCTGGTATATTGGAAATGGCTCAAGCTCTCACACACAAAAACCCAGCCTTCTGTTGGGGAACAATTCACTGACTATAATGCTTGTCCTCTCCCTTCACATTTGACCATTAGCTCCATTTAAAGTGCTAGTAGGTGTCATGGCTCAACCAAAGAACTATGCAGGTAAGAGGGCAGGCACAAGGAAGGCCATAGTGATTGGGCTTTTATGGCCAGGGCTATTCCAACCTCCCTACAAAGAACCCAGGAGATAAGTTATGCTATATTTTGCTGTTCTTATAAGAGGCAGCATGGCTTAGTAGCCAAGAGAGGGTAGAGAGGGGTTAGAGCTAAAGCCAAATATTCCAGGCAAGAGTTGAAGCAGAGGCCAAAGAATTTTCAAGCTATTGGAGTTGGCAGTGATTCTTTAAGTTCTGAGAAAAAGGGAAAGGACCTCTGGGCTCCCTGCTGTCCCAATAGGGCACAAGAAGTTCTAAACCAAAGAAGTGAGCAGCTTGGGACTTTATCTTATTAGACTGACCTTGAACTCCTAAAATAATACTGTTTCTGGGGATTACAAGTGACCAGAGCATGCTTTATTATCTGAAAGTCACCAAAAGAGTCATGGGACTATGTGAGAGCTCGTCCAGGGATGGGGTCGAGAGAAGCTCTCGCCTAGTACTATGAACAGAAATGAAGGAATCAGGATGCTTCTGCTCAAATGCCCTGATTGAACCCAGGACTTCACACATGCTAGGCAAGTACTGTATCACTAAACTATATCCTCAGCCCTCTTTACTTTTTCTTTTGAGGCAGGGTGTCCCAAATTCACTAAATCCTTACACCGTTCTTAAACTGACTTTGTAGCCCAAGCTGGCCTTGAACTTGCCATCCTCCTGTCTTGACATCCCCCACCTCCCCCTGAGTAGCTGGGATTACAGGCCTGCACCACCAGGCCTGGCCTTGTGGTTGCTCTTGTTTTCCAGCAACTCTCTTTGTGGAGTGTGGGCTTCTTGAAGGCAAGAACCTGGTTTGTATTGCTTGTTTCCTGAGTCCCAGCCCCTTCATGGGATGGATGATGGCTTGGTCTGTTGGTCCAGCCCTCCTCATATCCTTTAAGAAGGTCTGTGTGCTTCTTACCTAGCTGCTGTAGGTGCAGCCCTTAAAGGCATACCCTTGCTACATTGTTGGACACTTGCTTCTGAGCCTTTAGAGCTGCCTGGCTGGAGCTGTTGGCCTATGCCAACAATAACACAGGCATGCTTAACTCCTGTCACCAGAGCCCCAAGCCTGGGCCCAATCGGTCTGATGTGGGTACATGAAAGCCCTGCCTCCCTACTCCAAGGTGGAACAGGTTCTGAGGTGCACCTTATACTCAAGGCCTCTCTGGGTGAGGTGGGGAAGGCTGTCAGGCTGAGGCTGGCCTTGAAACCACATTCTCGCTTCATTTTGCATCTGTTTAGCAACTTCCTTGAGAGCACCCCCCTAATAATTCACCTATACTGACTACGCTGGGGCTCTGTTTCTGATGGACCTGACCTAAGCCAGACCATATTAGTTGAACAAAGAAGTTTTCTGAGACTGGCATGCACAATCCAAGGAAATCCTGGGCTGTATTGAGGAAAGTCTTTGTAAGATTAGATGCCCCTTTAAGGTATCTTAGAGGCTTTCCATCCCATTTTGCTAGATACTTTCAGGGTGGAAAGTGGTAGAAAGACAAGTTTTGCTTTGGTTCACTGGCTTGTCAGGGCTGGTCTAGAGGTGCTTGTCAATAACAGGAAGGCTGTAAATGGGAGTGCATTCAGGTGTACATGCCTCACTTACCTGGCCCGGGACTCCAGGAAGGCCTTGTTGACCTGGACTTTGACCTGACTCACTGTGTCATAGATGGTGGCAGTTTTGGTGGTCCGAGCTTGGGATGGAGGAAGTAGAAAGCAGGGTATCAGACACCACTCCTTTGGGATATCCTTTGCTTCTGCCTCCCTCTTTCTCAATCATTACCCCATCTTTCAAACCGGAGCAGGCAGGCAATCAAGATTAGGATATTTTAAAAGAGTCCTTAATGGGAAAACAGTACAGAATGGGGAGAGTCCTCTCTGATCTTCAACAATATGTGAAAATTGTCCTATAGGATTCCACTGGAACACCCAGGGAGAGGACAGTGGGGTGTCTGCTGTGACTACTCTAGGTTGGCCTAGGCTACCTGGTTTCCGGTGAGACAGTCTCTGAACTCTTAAGCAAGCCCATCCAGTGGTATACCCAATCACCAGGACCCTGAAGCAGAGACAGAGAAGACACAGAGGGAGAGTTGGGGTTCCTGTTTTCCCCCACATTGGAGTGTGGGATCTGAGAGGCAGTCCCTATTCTCTGAACAAAGAGATTGTAGTGAACTGACCAATGTCCACTTGGAACTTCAGCATGTGATCTTTTTCCAAATAGCCTTTGAAGATGTAATTAATTCAGATGAGGTCATACTGATTAGGGTGAACCCTAAGTCCAATGACTTTTATAAATTAGGAGATGACCAAGAGAAGGTGTGTGAAGACTGAGGAGGCTACAAGCTGAAGACACCAATGACGCCGAAGACACCAGAAGCTGGAGGAAGAAAGGAAGCACCCTCTTCTAGAGGCTGGGGAGGGAGTATGACCCTGCATCACCTTGATCTTGCATTTTTAGCCTCCTGGGCTGTGTGAGAATAAAATCTCTATCATCGTTAGTCACCCAAAGCTTACGGTGCTTTATTCCAGAAGCCCCAAGAACAATAATGACAGTTCCTAATACAGTGTGACACTTACCATTTCTGGCAGATGCTGCAGTCTGGAGCAAGATCAGGAAAGCCAGGAAGGCTGGGAAATGCAGAAGGACCCTCATCGCTGAAAAGAGACGAGTATCATACTATGAACTTCAGTGGAGCCCCATTGGGAGAGAGTGAATCTCAGCAGAAAAAGCCCATGGAACAGAAGACGCACTAGCCACACAAACTCACTATGCACAGGCCTGTGCTTGTGCTGGGAGAGCTGGAAAGGGGCAAGGTAGGGGAGAAAGAGCTTCAGGGTCTGAGGCCCCTATTTGTAGCTCTGTGATCTTCAGCAACTTAGTTAACATCGGGCCACTGGCCTGTCAGTAAGAGGGCAGGATCAAGTGACCTCGTATGTCCCCATTCTGCCTTGGGAGCCTTGGCCTATTTAGTCACAGGTGTGGGAAATTTTCTTCCCAAGTCTTTGGAGTCCTCCCTCTTTCTCCAGGCATTTGCTTTCTGCCAGTTCTGTTGTAGCTTGGGGTGTACCCTGGGAGGTGACACCACACCTCTCCTCAGAAACTCCACAGGGCTTCCCCCTCCCTCAAAGAATCAATATGGTGAGAACACATGCAAAAATGTTGTGACAAATCTGTTTCCCTGAGCCCACACCTGTGTCCCAAGCTGCCTAGGGAGATTTCAGCTCTAGATTAACACCTTTCATCATGACCTTTAGGTCTGAAACTAAACCACCAGACTAAAATTTAGACAGCTTTGTCTCCTTCCTCCCTCCCTCCCTCCCTTCCTCCCTTCCTCTGCTTTCTTTCTTCTCTTGCTTCCTTCCTTCTTTCCTTTCTTTTCTGCTGGTGATTGAACCCAGGACCTGGCCCACATTAGGTAAGTGCTGTCCTACTGAGCCGCATCCCAGCCCTCCAAGGTCAAGCTTGTCTTCATGAATGTACTTTTCGTAAGCTCACTTTAGAAGAAAGCCAAGATATGAGTAAATATCTCTCTGGCCAAGATTTTCTTTTCTTTTTCTTTTTTTAACCAAGATGAATTCTCGTGTGTGCGTGTGTGCGTGTGTGTGTGTGTGTGTGTGTGTGTGTGTGTGTGTGTGTGTGTTTGTGTTTGGGGATTGAACTCAGAGCTTTATCCATGCTAGGCAAGTGGTCTATCACTGAACCACACCCCCAGTCCCAAGATAAATTCTCCAATAACTCAACCCCTCCGTGGACTCGTCCTTTCATTTGTATGGTCCCAAGTAGGAAGTTCTGTGACCTTCTGTCCCTCTGCTGTCTCTTCCCTCCCTCCCTCCCTCCCTCCCTCCCTCGCTCCCTCCCTCCCTCGCTCCTTCCTTTCCTTCCTTCTTCCTGTATTTCATTATGCTGCCCAGGCTGGCCTTGAACTCATGATCCTCCTGTCTCAGCCTTGAGTACTGGGATTATAGGTGTGCCAGTATACCCTCCTTGTCACCCTTTCTTGTGATTGCACAACTGTTGCAGGGTTCATTGAGTCAGCAGAAATCTTCCCTTTCAGGCAAACAGATGGTGTTTTCGTTTTTTTAAAATATTTTATTTATTTATTTATTTATTTTTAATTTTTTTTTTTGTCTTTTTGAGACAGGGTCTCTGTAGCCCCAGCTGGCCTGGAACTCACTATGTAGACCAGGCTGGCCTTGAACTCACAGAGACTGGCTTTATTTATTTTTATTTTATGTGTATGAGTGTTATGCCTACATGTAGGTAAGTAAACCTGTGTCCTGCAGTGCCTCGGGAGGACAGAAGAGGCTGTTGGATACCTTGGAACTGGAGTTACGGACAGTTGTTAGCTGCCATGTGGGTGCTGGGATTCAAACCCGGGTCTTCTGCAAGAACAGTGTTCTTAACCACTGAGCCATCTCTCCAGCCCATAGATGGTGGTTTTTAAACTATCACTGAGTTTTTTTTTTCCTTTAACTGTTTTTTTTTTAAAGCATAAAATTGACCACCATAACCATTCAAACTGCATATCATAGAAATGCCAAGCTTTGAAACCGATCTCTAGAATGTTTTCATCTTACAAAACTGAGACTCTGGGTCCACTGAATGCCTCTTCCACATTTCCCCTCCTTCCGGTCCTGCAACCACCATATCTGAACAGGAAACAAAACTACTCCTTTCTCCACTCTTTCTTTGAGACCTTCTTCATACTTCTTCACTGGGAAGGGAGGGGGGAATTCAAGGCCAAAGCTCAGTGATTTTTCCTGTCATGATCAAGGTCACACTTTTCCTGGCTGGTGTAAAGGAAGGGTGTGGGGCTGGAAGCAAAGCCAGGCAAATACAGGATCCTGACACTGAACATGGGTGTGCAGGAGGTCCTGGAGAGACACTGTCTGCAGCTGACAATAAGTAGGACAAAGGGTAAAGAGCATTGGGTTTCAGAGTGACAAGGCTGATAGAAGCTTGGGCTTTTACCCACGTTCTTGTCCTTGTGTTCAGTGAAGGCCTGTCCCAAAGCCCTCAGTTTTCAGAAAAGCCTGGACCCTTCTTAAACAGAGCTTTTTCTGAAGACAGCCAGAGCCTCTTTCTCTCCAATGTCTGGGTGGCCCACAAGCCCATGCCTCCGTCGTGCAGTGTCCTCTTGGCTTTATAAACACCTATGTACATTTCAAAACCCAGGCTAGATGTCACCTCCTTGATGAAGTTTATCAGATTTTTTTTTTTAGTTTATCAGATTTCTATGGATAAAATTAGTCCATTCTCTTTTCTGTCCTCCTTTGGTATTTTACTCAGCTCTTACACTACTGGTTTTGTGTCTGTTTTCATACAAGACCATGAATTTCTTGGGGTCAATGCCTTATTTATTTCTGTTTTTCTTGTGCTTAAGCATCATGTTGGTACAGAACAGCATTGAGTACACACCAAATAAATGACAGAGCAGAGAGGTCAATCATCCGGTAATCATGGAAAGTAGAGATTCTGGCTTGGAAGTTCTTGGAAAAGAACCAAGAGTCTGCCCTTCCAGCAGGTTCACAGGTCTGCAGACTGCCCTGAGCACTATGATCTTCCAGACCTTGGCTCTCGGACTTGCAAGTCACCAAGGAGACTAGAAGAAGGCTAAGATGGGGAGGGATTGTTGGAGCTCATTTACACAGACGGCAAGTGACAGAATATGTGAACCTCAGAAAAACCATGAGCTTCATTAGAGGAAGCCATAAAGGCATAAAACCATCAGAGTGGCCAGAAAGGCTCTAAATTGTAAAAGTACAAAGCTTCCCCAGTGACCTAACAGTTATAGATTAAAGATGTGGCTCTGTTCATCCCTTATCAGCTGGTCACTCCCAAGCCTGAGAGGAAATGTTTGTGGAGCCCACCTGTCTCCTCTAAGGCCATAGATAACATTCCTGCCAGTTCCTGGGTAAATAATCTTGAGGAGACCTTTAAGCCCAGGTACTAACTCTACTCCCCACTAAGTGTAGTTGTGTTCTACCATGTGGGTGCTGGGACTCAAACCAGGTCCTCTGCAAGAGCAACCAGTGTGGTTCCTGCAGACAGCCTCTACCTCTCACAGTATCTTTGAATAAAGGAGGATATAGTCCTTGCATGTTGCAGGTCTGGCTCTGTTTTCTTATCTTCTACTCTTCTGTCTTTCCTTTTATCTTCCAAAAATCTAACATTTGGTGGCCCTTCAGGGAAGGGTTTCAGGGGCCCATCCCACAGGCCCCAGCCCTCTCTGGACCCTCTCCAAAGGCTCTGGGCATCTCTGGCTTGGGTGACCACTGAATATCTGGCAGCCTTTCACTTGGAGCCTGTCCTTGGCCCCCTTCCTCCTAATTCTCCTCTTCTCCCCCTGATACTCTTCGCTCTCTCCTTTTTCTGTATCTAGCCAGACCTCTGGGTAGGGAAGCCACCTTCCATTTGTTTCCCCTTGCATCCACCACCTCCAGAGACAAGGTAATCCGGGCTGACTCCGGGGCGCCACCCACCAGGTCCCAGGGGCTCCGGGAGCCCCTGCCATTTGGGGGACTCTGGGAGTCCCCCTTCTGCCCGGGGGTCTTAAGACTGAGGTAGCTCAAAAGTTCTGGGAGTTTTCCACTGGGCACTTGGCTTCTGACTCTATCCCTGGTGTTTACAAGAATTGGGGACGCCCACCCCTAGACACCAGGCCCCATTTTGGTGGATCCGAACTCAGAGGGATGCCTCTGAGGGGCTGGATCTCACCTCTGGCCTTTTCTCCCCCTCCCACTAGGGATTCCAAATTTTTCGGCTACCCACGGGGGAACTAGTAAAGCTCCGGGAGCTTGCTAGGGGAACCAGTGAGACTCTGGAAGCTTGCCCACCATGGGCTCCAAATTATCTGTTCCAAAAGATACACCTTTGGCTTGCCTTAAAACAAACCTAAAAAAACTCCAAATAGTAAGACTCGAGACAGCTGAACTTATTTGTCTGTGGGTCCAAGTCTGGCTTTACTATTCCTTGGGCAGTGGCTGCGGCCGGCCCAAAATTGGCACCTTTAATCATAATGCTTTAACAGATTTTAAATTTACATAAAACAAAATGGAAAATGGCGTGAGATAACCTATCTTCGATGTTTCCTCACTCTTCGGGCCGTCCCTCTTTCTGTAGTTCGTGTACTAACCATTAGATTCTTTTATGTCCTTAAGGCTTAAAACCCAAACCCAAAAGACTTAGCAGCCCTTTAACCTCGAAATTTAACCCCACTGACAAATCCCCACCCTACAATCCTCCACAGGGTTCTGGGGTCTGATCAACCCCAAGCCCTGACGCCTAATCTCCCGCTTCTCCCTCCCTCCCCTTCTTCAGTTCCCCTATGGAGCCCAAGGTTCACTTCCACCTCCCACCTACATCTCCTCCCCTCCGTGCGCCCCCTCCCTCACCCACACCATCAAATCGTGACTTGCTCTCACTGACACACCCAGTCATACTAACAAACTGTAAAAAAGTAGAGCCAGGCCACTCTGTCCCCAATCAGCCTTCTCGGATTTCTTTTGCCTGCCGCTTCAGAGTTTCAAAGCTACTGCTTACTGGGAGCAACGATTGAGGGACAGCAGTGGGGCCACAGCAGCAAGGGCAGCATTGTGCCCTGACCTCCGAAGTGCAAAAGCCTGTTTGCCAAAAACAAAGGCTCTGTTTATCT